TTAATAAATCAGTCAAAGGAGCTGCCAACATTGCATATCCTTTCACAAACCTTCGATAGTATCCAGTCAGCCCCAAAAACCCTCTTAATTGTTTGATATTCCTCGGTTCTGGCCAAGCCATCATGGCCTCAATTTTTTTTGGATCTGCATGGACTCCTTCACTAGACACCACATGCCCGAGATAATCAATAGATGAGGCTCCAAAAGAACACTTAAAGAGCTTAATAAAAAATTGATGTTGCAATAAACTCTCCAAGGTAATGCTGAGATGCTTTAAATGCTCTTCCTAGGACCTTCTAAACACCAAAATGTCATAAAAAAAACAATAATAAATTTCCTCAAATATGGCTTGAAGAGGTGATTCATTGCAGCTTGAAAGGTTGCCGGAGCATTGGTCAATCCGAAGGGCATGACACGGAACTCATAATGTCCTTAATGAGTCCGGAATGCTGTCTTTTGAACATCCTTTGGCAACATCCTTATTTGATGGTACCCAGCCCTTAAATCGAGCTTGGAAAAAACTGAAGCACCACCCAATTCATCTAGGAGTTGATCATCAATTGTTGGAATAGGATATCTGTCACGGATGGTCATAGCATTCAATGCTCTATAATCAATGCACATTCTCCAGGAACCATCGTGTTTCTTGACCAAAAGGACTGGTGAGGAGAATGGACTTTGCGAATGTTGAATTAACCCAGTTGCAAGCAAACCAGAAACTTGTTTCTCAATCTCTGTCTTTTGGAAATGGGCATACCTGTAAGGCTTTACATTAATTGGTTGAGCTTTGTCAATCAGATGAATGGCATGATCTAGGCCACGGAAGGGAGGTAATTCATTGGGTATTTGGAAAACTATTTGGAACTGACACATTACTTGCCATAACTTCTTTGATATAGAGGTTCTGATAGCTGCAAGCTCTTGATTTACCACATTGGATGGTTCCTTCTCTTGTACTATTGCATAGCAAGTAGCATGGTTATCAGAACGAGTCCATGTTTCAACCTTCACCTAAGAATTCCCATTCTGCATTCCAGTCAGCAAGACTGATTTACCCTGCCAATGAAACTCTATGGACCTCTTCGAATAATCATGAGTGACCCTTCCCAACACCTCTAACCAAGGCATACCCAAAATAACATGTAAATCATTTAACTCCAATACACACAATTCAACACAGAATGTGTGACCTTGCAATTCAATAGGGACATTGAGGCATTTACAGTCTACAATTAAAAATTCCCCATTTCCCAAAAACACCCGCATTCGTCTAACTCTAGTCATAGGCAGATGCAATTCACAAGCCACTTGCCTTTGAATAAAGTTGTGTGTACTACCAAAGTCGACCAAAATGGATACCTTAGATCCTGCTATAATTGCGGAGAACATCAGGGAACGCCCATTGACATGATCGGCCATGGCATGTAATGCAGCATCCGTAACTTCTCTGGCATTGCTTTCTGATTGCCACACTATTTCCTCCTCATCAGCATCATGTTCCAACTCATTCCAATCACCGATCATCAACAACATTTTGTTTTTGCATTTATGTTTGGCATGCCATTTCTCATCACAGTGGTAACATAGGTTCCACTCACGCCTTCTCTGTTGTTCAACATAAGACATCTTCTTTACTTGTGGAGGTGCTGGTAAAGCCAAAGTAGGTGATGGATTAGGCAGCTGTGGCACATCGACATTTTGACAAACACCTGGTGGAGTTTCGGTTGGCACGAAGGTTTTGAACACATTCCTCCGCGAAGTAACATAGAACGATGCTTTAAGTTCCATGTGGTGATCATCGTAAGCAAGGGCAATCTGCATTGCTTGATGAAGGGACACCAGAGACTGGAGCTCTACTGCACTTTGGAGTTCTGGTATCAAGCCAGATACAAAGAAACTGAGATAAAGCTCATCGCCTAACCCCGGTACTTGATTGATGAGGGCTTCAAATTCTCGGATGTAATCACACAAGGAACCCATTTGAACAAGCTTTGAAAGAACACTAGTAAGATTGGTGAATGTTGAGACCCCAAACCTCTGACGCAAGGCTGTAGAAAGATCCCTCCACGAACATAATGTGCCACCGTTATACATCCATTGATACCATGCAGCAGCCATGCCATCCATGCGTAATCTAGCAAGAGAAACCTTAAATTCTTCCGGAATTTGTTGTAGATGAAAGAACAACTATGTTTTAAAGATCCAATTGTTCGGATCTGTGCCATTGAACATTGGAATTTCAAGACGAATTGCTTTAGAATCTGCCTCAAGTCATTGAGTTCTTGACGATGACCATTTGGATGTGGAGGCTCAGAAGTCTGATTCAAGATTGGACCACGATGAACCGATCACGCGTTCGAGCATCAATTGCAAGAACGTTGGTGTTAAGCTGTTGTAGTTGCGCCAACATCAATGACATTTGATGCTGAGACTCATCGAGTCGTGTCTCAACCCGAGTTAGTTGAGTATGGTGATCATCAAGACGACCATCGACACGCTGTTGAAACCCCGAGAATTCTTCGGCAAGGTCCTGCACTCGCATTGTGGAATTCTTGGTGTTCATGCAATGAAAGCACCAATGTTAGGGTGGAACCCTAAGGAGAAGAAGAAACCAAGAGATAAAAGAAGGAACAAGTTTTATTATTTCGATAATACCCAATCTGATACAACCCAGTAACTATATACAAGTATTGTTTATTACTTACAACCCACTGCTATACCACAATGTGACACCTATAGCCACTAATACAGCTGTCTAACTAATTTCTCAACAATTCACTTAAGCTATATAATCCTTTAGCTTAGCAGGATGCATCTTTACTGTTCTGAAGCACCTACGGATCTTTATCTCATATTTGCATAAAAATAACTGGGGGAGAAAGCCAAGAAGCTGCCACAGCAGGTTTTGTGTTACATTAGGCTACACTGGCCACAGCATTGATTACATGACTTACATGGAATAGATCTCATATTACTATATTAATTGGTAACATTAGGTCAGTATTGCTGCGCCAGAAAAGAGAAATTATCCATAAACAACTAATTTTGGATCAATATTCGTGTTTAATGGCCAGGCGTTAATATCTGAAATTTTTGCAGTTTGAAATCTCGCGTGTTAACTTTGTATTACATTTTGATATTTTAATCAAACAAATTACGGTCACTTATTTTCTCTCTCTCATTGCTTCCACCACTTACATTATACAAATATAATATGAGATTTTCGTATTCGGTTGACCCACGTTTAGACTTGTGTCTTGTTTGTGTTGATAAAAAATAACATGAAAAAATTTATATCATATTGTGTATAAATCTGCAAACATGACACTGATCTGCGTTTTGGTGATTATTTATATTTTTTACCTGAATATTGTTTGTCATGTCGTGTTGTGCTATTGTTTAGTTATCATCATTAGTTGGTGTAATCATCATTTCGTATAATAAATGAGTTGTGAGTGACGTTAGGGGTTTAAATAGGCTCAGCTAGGCTAGGCTTTGACTTAAATAGGCTAGGCCTGTGTGAAAAACGTTGTGTCTGGTCTAGCCTGTTAGCCTTTGTAGGCCCCAAATTATAAGTCTGGTTTGACCTATATTTAAAAATTAAAAGCCTTGGCCTAGGCCTGTTTAAACCTATTAAACATTCAACAATTAAAAGAAGGGTTCATTTTTTCTGCAGTAAGCCCAATACGACGTCGTTTTGGGGCATATTTCATGGTGTTTTTGTAATTTTAATTTATTTCAGAGTTATAATAGTCTTTATATTTATAGTTTTTTAAGATTTCAATATCAAAACGACGTCATTTTGGGAATAAATGCAGATAACTTATCTGCATTAACTGCAGAAATATTTTTCCCTTAAAAGAATAACTAAAATAATATTATTTTATTATTCAAAATTATTAAAATAATAATTTTATTTATTTTTTTAAAAATAAATAATATGATATAAGTCAGCCTGTAGGCTTATAGGCCCCTCATTTACAAAAAAAGCCTATGACCTGTTTTCTAAATGGATTTTTTTAAAAGCCTAAGCCTGTTCTATTTTACTATTTGTAATAGGTCAAACCTGGCCTAATATAAGCTAGGTCGTAGGCCGGCCTAACCCATTTACATCACTAATTGCAAAGAATATGTAAATTTGAGATTAATTGGTTATTCATACCGTGAATAACCATGAGAAATTAAATAAAAAATGAAGAGAAAAAAAAAAAGTGGACCGTGATAGATGGACACTAGGTTAATGACGTTTCGTTAAGAGGGCGCTTGATCTATACAGTCTAATTTTGCACTCTTTCATCTAAGTGAAAATTGCAATTGATAAGGAATTCAAGTGAAAGACTCTACTCTTGAGTTTACATTATATACGTGCTTTTCCAGTGAGATTAGTTAATTGACAAGAATATCTTCAAGAGGTATGATCTATATTAATTTTACTAGTGTTCTAAATTCTAGTTTAGTAATATCTGTTATAACATTTTTCTTGTAGCATTGAAAGAAAGGATATTGAAGGTCGAAATAAAAACTTCCACATATGCTCCTTCAAGCATATTTTATCTTCACTTTCTAAGGTTTATACATTTTGTCTGGAATGGAAAAGGTTTGTCTCAGTAACTCTAAAGATAGAAGACATTGCATTTACTTTGCTATGTTTAACTCCAATGATATTAGCCTACTTTTACATTGCTATGTTTAACTTCAATCATATTAGCATATTCGTGAGTTTCGGATATAGGATTGAGGACACACAACTATTTTACCATAATTAATTATTCCTCAAAACCCTATGCAACTATTATCCATATGTTGCATCCCATAAATAGTCATTTCCTTGAAACTTGGACTCCCAGTTGCATGGACCTCTCTAATATTCAACCGTTTCTCTATCTCTCAATTAATCTTTTAAAATCAACCCTCACCATATTCCATTAGTAACTGTCTTTTTGCAAAACCATGGTTAATTAGCCATGGCTTCCCTATTACATCCCCTTCATTTTGCAGCAATTTTGTGCATATATTTTGTGCTACCCGTTTTTGCAGAGCTTCAGAGGTTCCAACATCGACCAAAACATAATGGATCCCTCAGCTTCCTAGTCATTGGAGATTGGGGTAGAAAAGGGCTATATAATCAATCCCTGGTTGCCACTCAGGTTCATCTTCATTGTTCCCTCTATGAATGTTACTAAAATTTGATTCTTAGGCTTTTATTAAAATTGCTGCATACCCAATCACCTAAGTTATGCAAATACTTTATTTTGATTTTTTTTTCCCTCCCTATTGGTGTTCCGAACAATCACACACAAATCGCAAATAGAAAAGAGAGAAGGGAAGAAAGAATAGAGATGCAGATTTGTCATGGTTCATCCAACATGGTTTATACCTAAAATGTTTAATTATATTCTCCTCACAACACTTATTACAAAGCACTCTATTTGTATACAAGGGGAATAAAAATAAGTTTAGAAACACTAAGCGCAATCCCAAACTACTAAAAAAGAGCGGGACCCAGTTGGCTTTATCTGCATTCCGCCAATAAGAGTCGCCATCTAAATGCGAAGGATTTTATCTCCACATTTCCTGCATTATGTTTGAACAAATAATTATTTTGATATTTTGCTAAGAAAAAAAACTCATCCTAACTTTTTGTGTAGTTTCATGAATAAACTCATATACTCCCTCCCCAAAAGCGTTTACTGTGTTTGAAGTTGTACTGTTAGTGGTACATAGATGTCTCCCGTGAGGGTGAAGTATATTGATATAGGGGTGTCCATAGTAACCATGGTAGAGACCAAGGCACTAGTGGAGCTTCCCATGTATGTGCTCAAGGGGGAGTTCGTGTATGGCTAGGGTTGTTCTCCTGGTGGCAGCGCATGAAGCTGAATGGAGAAGAAGAGGATCCTGTCCCTCAATGTGAGAGGGGGTATTTAGAGCAAGAGCCCTAGTCAACCTAGCCAGCCTAGCCTTTTCAGGCTAGGCATGCTGAACCCCTGCCCTTGTGCAGGGACAGCTGGTGTGCATGGGGAAGAGGGGGAACCCTAAGTTGCCTTCTAGAAGAGGGCTCTTTAGGCTGGGCCTAACGGTTGGGCCCATGTGAGTGGGCTATCCAGAACAGAAGTGAGAAAGGAAACACAATGACTCTATTCACCAAAGCTAAGCTCCCCCCAAAATTACAAAGTCTTAACCAATTGAAATAGGCATTGAATTGAAAATCGATCATGTTCATGATGTCATTGCAGCTTCTTCATTTGAAATGGTATTTGTTGGCTAACATCAAACATTAATAATGGACATGGCAGATGGGAAAGATAGGAGACAAACTTGATATAGATTTTGTTGTATCAACTGGAGACAATTTCTACATGAATGGAATAAAAGGTGTAAAGGATCCAAGATTTGTGGAGTCATTTTCCAACATTTACACTGCTAAGAGCCTCCAGAAGCAATGGTACTCTAGTAAGTCAAATCAAATCACTCCAATTTTACCAAAATCCCTCTCTCTATCTGAAGATATATAAGTAAAAGAAAGAAAAAATAATTGAAAACCATGCATCATGTTTTCTCTTGTAATTCCTTTATTTTAAAACCATATCTTCTGCAGTTTTGGGAAACCATGATTATAGAGGTGATGCACTGGCACAATTAAGTCCTCTCTTGAGGAAAATTGACAGTAGATGGTTTTGCCTGAGATCATTCACTCTTAATGCAGGTATAATGATAATGGTATATTCATTTTTCAACCTCTTAATCACCCTTGTTCTGAAAGGAATCATATTTAAACTTAGTTTTCTTTGCCTTCCTACTTTCCCTAGGAGTTGCTGAAATTTTCTTCATAGACACAACCCTGTTTATAGATGATTATTTCAACTATCCCGAACACACTTATGATTGGCGAGGTGTGTCTCCGAGGCAAATGTACCTCAAAAACCTTCTGAAGGTACCAAATGATTAATGATCTATTCTAGAAAGTAGACCAGTGACCCTTTACTCGTTTAAGATTTTACAACATTTTTGTGATAAGGATTTTGAAGAAGCATTGATGAAATCAACCGCAAGATGGAAAATCGTTGTGGGTCACCATGCAATAAGAAGTATTGGGCATCATGGTGACAGTCCAGAGCTTATAAAGCACCTCATCCCAATACTCAAGGTACATAAATATAGGATATGTTATTCTACTTATCTTCTATTTAATGATTATCTTATCATCAATCTCTAACACCGTTATATCAAAATCTCAAGAGGTGAGAGAAATAATAAAAGTTAGCTGAGATTCTGATTTAACGGTGTTGAAAAATGGTAGGCATGAAAAAAGAAAAAATAGCTAAAATAACTTATCCCTATAAATATTCATTCTACCAGAGAAACTTCCAAGAAAGCTAACATTACATAAAGTAGAATTTGTTTTCCTTTCAATTTTTTATTTCTTCCATTATGAGCACAAAATTTTCAAGACTAAAACTGCATTCAAACCCAAGAAATTCAATCCAAGATACCTTTTGGACTATATTCAATGTCCACTATGTCAATTTTTTTCCTTCAAAATATAACTCAAAACAGTTCTTAATTAACTACAATATGGCAGCAAGTTTTTGTTCTTTTCTAGAATTTGTGCTTATGATGTTTTTGTGAATATACAGGCCAACGATGTTGATATGTACGTTAATGGGCATGACCATTGCCTTCAACATATACGCAGCATAGACAGGTAAGGAAAAAAGGAAAAGAAAAACACATTCATACTATATGAGCTTTCATGAATGAAACTGATGAATACTTTTCTCGGATTTGGATCCTCTCATATAGAAAAATAGTCATGTTATTTGATTACAATCACTTATTTAAAAATCATACACTTTTTTCTTTTATCTCATCATCAATGAGTAGTTGTAATTAAATAACATGATCACTTTTTTATATGAGAGGATCCAAATCCACTTTTCGCGTACAAATATATAACAATGTGATCAAAATGCAGCCCACTTCTGTATTTAACTAGTGGAGCGGGCTCAAAGGCATGGAGGGGTGACATTAAATGCACAAACTCTGATGTTGTGAGATTCTTTTATGATGGTCAAGGTTTCATGTCTGTTCAAATGACTGGAAATGATGCAATATTTGCTTTCTACAATGTCTTTGGTGAGAGTATACACCATTGGAAACTGTCGAAGTCCTCGATGCATTCCTCTGCATAAATATGTACATTACACGCACAACAAAATATGTACAGAATTTTATGAAGCCATATTTGTACATAACACCTATGTTGATACCTCTTTCACTAATGATTTATAAAAAGTAGGCTAAAATATAAGTTACCCCCTTAAACTTTGACTATGTTTCAAATTACCCCCTTGTATTTTTAATTATTTCAATTAATCCCCTATACTTTATAATTGTTTCAAATCAACAATTCTATTAAAAATTTTACAAAGTCTGTTAAACCTCATCATATGCCCTAATCCCTAAATCTAAAAAAAAAATCTCTTTTCTTCTACGTTCTCTCATCTTTTATTACAATAGTTTGGGATAATTTCGATTTGGATTGAAGAAGATTAATGTGTCTGTTTTCTTCTATGATCTCCCAAGGTCTCTCTTAAAAAATATTAACATCTTCTACGAAGAGAAAACAATCATCGCTGAAAACTTTGTGAATAAATAATCAAGAGCTAAAGAAAAGATCATCCCAAATCATAGAAGAAAAGATTTCGCTGGAAATTTTGTGAATAAATAATAACAAGATCATCCTATCCTAAACTTTGTGAACTTCTATGATCCAAATCGAAAAGATCCAAAGAAAATTATAATAAGAGATGGGAGAATGTAGAAGAAAAGAGAGAAGAAATTTTTGAGATTTGGGGCTTGGGGTATGTGAGGAGATTTAACAGAGTTTGTAAAATTTTTAACAGAATTGTTGATTTGAAACAATTGTAAAGTACAAGGGATTAATTGAAACAAAAAGGTACAAGGGGTAATTTAAAACATGGTCAAAGTTCAAGGGGGTAACTAATATTTTAGCCTAAAAAGTGTGTGTGTGTGTGTATATATATATATATATAAGAAAAATATTTCTGCAGTTAATGCAGATAAGTTATCTGCATTTATTCCTAAAACGATGTCGTTTTGATATTGAAATATTAAAAAACTATAAATATAAAGACTATTATAACCCTGAAATAAATTAAAATTACAAAAACACCATGATTTCCGCCCAAAACGACGTCGTATTGGACTTACTGCAGATAACTTATCTATAGTAACTGCAGAAAAAACGAACCCTATATATATATGGAAAAAAATCTATCCTTTTAAAGGATATAAGTTTATATCCTTTTAAAGGATATAAGTTTATATCCTTTTAGATACTAACCGTTGATTTCTGTCCATCAACGGTTATAATCTATTGGGCCAAATTTAATGGGCCAAATTTATTATTAATTAATTAATAATTTTAATCCAATAAATTATAACCGTCGATGGACGGAAATCAACGGTTAGGATCTAAAAGGATAGATGTTATTCCCTATATATATATATATATATACTTATCGTTTCTCAAGCTGCCGGAGATAATTTTATCTCCAGCTAATAAATCATAACCGTACAAAGATGGATCAATAGTAATGAAGGAAGAGAGAGAAAAAGGAAATCATAACCATTTAAGGGTGAATCAATTAATATAAGAAAATAAATAAACATAACGACGTAATTTTAAGGTGGCTTGAGATAAACTTATCTCAAATTGCCAGAGAAATATTTTTCCCATATATATATATAGGGGAAAAAGTTTCTGATGTTACTTTAGACAATTTTGTCTAATGTTCATTAAAACGACGTCGTTTTAGGGTTGAAAAATTAAAAAATTAGAATGATAAAGACTATTATAACCCTGAAATAAATTTAAATAACAAAAATATCATGATTTTCGTCCCAAAACGACGTCGTTTCAATGAACATTAGATAAAGTTATCTAAAGTAACTTTAGAAAAAATAAACCCATATATATATGGCTTTAATGTTTCTAAGGTGAATGTAAATAAATTATCTACATTCGCTCCCAAAACGACGTCGGTTTGGGTTAAAAAATTATAATGAAAAAGACAATTATAACCTTGAAATAAATTATAATTACAAAAATACTTTAATTTTTGCCTCAAAACGACATCGTTTTGAGCTCACTGTAGATAAGTTATCTACATTGACTGTAGAAAAAGCGAACCCTATATATATATATATATATATATATATATAACCGTTTTTGCTATATTTAATTTATTATTAATTATTAGTAGGAAAATACTAAAGTCTAGAAAATTGTTTTCCTGATAGGACATGAAAAAATATCACAAGGCAAGTTACTTGCAATTGTGAGGTAGTTATTTTTGCTTTATTCATTTTTATTGAATTTGATGATACTCTTATTTATTTATTTTGTCATTGATTTTAGTATTACACTTGTAATTCCTTTCTTACTAGTTTTTATTAAATTGTTAAAAAAATATTTTATTTTATTTATTAAATTGTTCCTCTTGGATTGGTGCTAAGGAGAATGATGAGCTAATTAATGGTTTAAGGATTTTAGATAAACGAGGTCGGTTATAATAATAATAATAATAATAACTGAAAGAACGCACATAAGATTATAGGTATTCTTTAGCCATCACTGACCCCGCACTAGTCCCATAGTCGGCTCAAAGAGTCGAAGTTTGTGGGGATACCGGAGGGAGCCAACTCGCCTCAAAGAGGTAATTAGGGTTGGGTAACTCCAAAAATAAAAGATCATGGGTATTCATCAATCGATCCAAACCGATTCAAATCGCGATTACCGAACCTAAAAACTGAAAACTGAATTAACCGAAAAATTGAAAACCGAAAAAAAATCACAAAATTAATTGGATTAGATCGGTTTTTAGATGGGTTGATGAAAACCGATACAATCCAAACCAATCCAATTATTCCCTAATCTTACCATCTACCTACTTGGACCTTTCCCCAATCATAGCCCAAAAACCATATAGCAAAATTCTTAATCTAAGATCCATTAATCCATCATGTTAGAGAAAGTGAGTTGTGCTTGATCTATGTTATGCTTTTTTTTTTGTAAGATACATAACATATTTTTATTACATAGGTTATTGTTGTACAACAAGTCAACAACTCCTCTAGAGGATGCAAATTTGGGTTACTTCGTATCTCAACAACCATATTATAAATTTTTTTGTTGAAAATAAAAGATGATAATTTAACTTTTTTTTGTACAATGCTTCTAGATTGCACAATAATCACCATACAAATTTTACAAAGCGGATACATATAAAAGATATGTTATTTGCCAAATAATCATCATATAAATCTTAGACTTTTCAAAAATCGAAAACCGATCCAATTCAAACCGAATAAAATTGAATTGGATCAGATTAGATTTGAAAAAAAAAATTCAAACCAAATGAATGATTACATAATTAAACTGAATGGATTGAATCAGATGATTTTTACTTCCAAAATCTATTCAATCCAAACCACAAACACCCCTACATAAGATCACATGGAATAGAGAGTTAGATGAACAGAAAGCAAGAATTAAGTCTTGTTATTGTCGTGTTTGCTTTCAAATTATTCCAAAATAATCCTTTCAAATTATTAAAACTTAAACAAAAATACTTGACATTTTATTTGTTATTGTCGCGTATATATCTTCATAAAATTAAATCTTCTGCTTACAAGTATTAAAAAAATCTAAAAATCTTAATTACGGTATATTCTTCTCATATATCAATTTCATGTGAATCATGATTTTCGCAAGAGAATTTTTTATTAAATATAAAAATCCATAAGGCAAATTGACATAAAGAAATCCATACAAATATTCTTTTTATCGACTCGATCTATTAAAAATATATATTAATTTTAAATATTTCAAGGCTTTAATATTTCTGTAGTGAATGTTGATAAGTTGTCTACATTCGCTCCCAAAATTATAATCGTTTTGGATTGAAAAATTAAAAAATTATAATAAAAAAGACTATTATAACTTTGAAATAAATTATAATTACAAAAATACATTGATTTCCGCTTCAAAACGACATCGTTGTGGACTCAATGTAGATAAGTTATCTACATTGACCGTAGAAAAAATGATCCCATATTTTAATATGAAAAATAATAAATTACATATCATTATCCACTAAAAGAACAATCAAATGTATAACATGTAACGCCCAGCCACTTCAAGAATTAACGACTATCCCCACATACTAACACGAGACTTTTCAATGTGCTTTTTTCTCACTCGCACACTTCTCGAGAAAATTTCTCAGGAGGTCACCCATCCCAGAATTGCTCCAAGTCAAGCATGCTTAACTGTGGAGTTCTTCCGATCCGGGCTACCGAAAAGCAGATGTATCTTGTTAGCATAGGTAGTACCAATTAATTCTTATAAGCTATCCTAAACTGTGCAGTCACAGCCTTTGGAATCCCTCTCTTTCGGGTGTCGATTCGATTCATTCATGCATGTAACCCCCACTAGAAGCCTGTCAGGAGCCGCTCCTTGTCCGTGCCTCTTTGCACCGGCGATCACTCCCCATCCTCGTCAGTGCTCGGGATGTTACCTGCCCACCAGCTTCCGCCTGGTTCGTCCTCGAACCACACCGTACTGGAAGAGAGGCCCTGCTCTGATACCACTTGTAACGCCCAGCCACTTCAAGCATGCTTAACTGTGGAGTTCTTCCGATCTGGGCTGCCGAAAAGCAGATGTATCTTGTTAGCATAGGTAGTACCAATTAATTCTTATAAGCTATCCCAAACTGTGCAGTCTCATACCTGCACAGCCTTTGGAATCCCTCTCTTTCGGGTGTCGATTCGATTCATTCATGCATGTAACCCCGACTAGAAGCCTGTCAGGAGCCGCTCCTTGTCTGTGCCTCTTTGCACCGGCAATCATTCCCTGTCCTCGTCAGTGCTCGGGATGTTACATGCCCACCAGCTTCCGCCTGGTTCGTCCTCGAACCACACCGTACTGGAAGAGAGGCCCTGCTCTGATACCACTTGTAACGCCCAGCCACTTCAAGAATTAACGACTATCCCCACATACTAACACGAGACTTTTCAATGTGCTTTTTCCTCACTCGCACACTTCTCGAGAAAACTTCTCAGGAGGTCACACATCCCAGAATTGCTCCAAGTCACGCACGCTTAACTGTGGAGTTCTTCCGATCCGGGCTACCGAAAAGCAGATGCATCTTGTTAGCATAGGTAGTACCAATTAATTCTTATAAGCTATCCCAAACTGTACAGTCTCATACCTGCACAGCCTTTGGAATCCTTCTCTTTCGGGTGTCGATTCGATTCATTCATGCATGTAACCCCCACTGGAAGCCTGTCAGGAGCCGCTCTTTGTCCGTGCCTCTTTGCACCGACGATCACTCCCCGCCCTCGTCAGTGCTCGGGATGTTACATAACACTTGTGATACTGGTGCTTCAGGCTCAGTAGACGATATCTCTATCTATAAATCGAATCAAATTCTTTGCATATGGCGTAATCAAAATAATAACTAGTGTTATAGGTAGATAACCTTTGTAACTCAATAAATATCATATCACTCAAATACTTTAAAAGAAAACAAATCATTTGTGTGTGAGAGTGAAAAAAAAAGCGTCAATTGATGAAAACAAACTATTTTTTTTATGAACCGGACCAGGTCACATCGGATCCATTGCATGAACGGTCCAATATAAAAATAGAACCGATTATATGATCGAGTCACCGATTTTCGAGTCGACCCAACCAGGTGAATCTGATTTTTATAACATTACTCTCGAGTACAGTGATGTAAGTCATGTAACAATTATTCATACAACTAAACATTATATTTTAATTAGTTTAATGTTTTTGCTTTTGTTCTAGAAAAACTTTCTTTACCATATTTACATAAAAGTACGTGGATCTCGTTGTAAAGAGAATATAAAAAAAAAAAGTGTAGTGAAACTCACTCACTTCTTTTTTTTTTTTTTTTAATAACATTATGGGGCGAAGCCTCAAACAAAAACAAACAAACAACCAGAAACAAAAAATAACTATCCAGGGTCTATATCCCTACAAGAGGAGATTCTCTGAAGATCATGATCAAATAACTAAGCAAGGTGAAATGACATAACTCTATGACTCCAGAATCCAGTAAGCAGGTAAATTTTTTGGAAGGTGAAACTCACTCACTTCTTTATTAGTGTAGCAGGTAAATTTTTTTCGAGCAGCAAAGAGAGAAATATTTTTCCCTATTTTAATTCTAACTAATGTCAAATATTATTTTGAAGTTAATAAAAATCATAAAAATCAGCCATAATAAAGGAAAATTTAAGGATGTATTTTGAAGTTCATAAAACAAATTTTGTAACATATTATTTCGATCAACCGGTGAGAAATAAAAAATATTGTGTATCTAACTATATTATACATACACGTGACATTAATGAAGATGAAGGAACTAAAACGTGTTGGCTAGCACAGCTATTCTGTCATTGAGGTTCCTTTATTACTTTGACTTGGAACGGGTTTGGTTCTTCTCAGTCTCAGCCACCATTTCTTGTGGCTTTTTGTTTTTGGGTCTTTTTTATAAAGTAAGCTTTTCCTCAGAATGATGTTTACTTGTATTCTATGTAATAATTTGTTTAGAAAGTTCTGTTTGGATATTTAGCTTAGAAATTATGTGTTATATGAAATCTCAATCCCACCTCTTAATTTCTACCTACCCAACATTAACTGTTTTGGGTTGCGTTAAGATTTTGTGAAAAATGAACTGGATTTAGTTTTTAAATTATATAAAATTATGTTTTGATTAAATGCCCATATACTGTTTGATATATGTTCTGAACCAAATTGGACAAGCGTGTTGATATTGAATGCATTGGCAGTCAAACTACCTTGCTGCAATTTTCAATCATCAGTGCTATTTGATTCGTGGGTTTAATGAATTTTTTTTTTTTTCTATTCATACGCCTTTTACGGAGATGCAAACGTGTGTTAATGGCGTTTACAAAATTTGTTTTGGTGTAGTAATATTTTACAGCAAAATATTTTCTTTGCCTCCAGACAAGGATTTTTGCAAACGATGGAAATTGAATTTGAATTCCCATGCATTTCAAATTATCTGAAAATTTGAAACTCTCATCCGATCACTGCATTATGGAAACAGCTAGAAATGTCCAAGGATATTCCTCTTCTAACAGGGTTTGCTTCCATTATAGAGAAGGGGAATGTAATGTACATAACCCAACCTGAAGATTTTTTTGTTAATTTACTCTTAGTATTAGTGTATTTCCATTAGTGGGAAGTGGGAACAAAATAGTTTTGGAAGTTAGAAGATTAAAGGATGGTGCAAACTTTTCATTTAGACATTGTTAATTATTGCCTTTTTATATTTCAATGTTACTCTGAGATAAGACTTGTATTTTTTTCGTCCTTTTCTCTTAAGCACTAATGGTTCTATCATATCTTATATGAATGTTCTGATTCACATCTTCACTCTTCACTTCTAATTTTATGCATTGATCTTTTGTTCTAAACCTCTGCTTCGACTTATTATTTTCCCCTTCTTTTCCAATCCCTTGTATCTTCAGTTAGTGCTCATGGAGTCCATATGTGAGGCGACCAAGTCAGTCAGAGAAATACGGGGCTCAGACTCTTCTTCGAAGAAAGCAAAGGATCTGAACATTGAAGGATACCCAGTTGGGGGTTTGTCCATTGGAGGACATGAAACATGCATAATTTTTCCCACACTTAAAGTAGCCTTTGATATAGGTCGCTGCCCACCTCGAGCTGTTTCCCAAGACTTTCTTTTAATCTCCCATGCTCACATGGATCACATTGTTAGTCACTTCCTTTCATGCAAATGCATGCATATGATTCAATTTTGGAATTTTAATTCACATATATTATAATATTGTTAAACCATTTGACTAATTTTTTGTTTCCCCTGAAAATTAACATATTACACATGCTTTATATAATATATGGCTGAATGAACTTCTTGTTGAACTTCCATTTTATGACATACATTTACTTTTGACAGGGAGGACTACCAATGTATGTTGCCACACGTGGTTTGTACCGCATGAAGCCCCCAACGATTATTGTACCAATATCAGTAAAAGAGGATGTAGAGGCACTCTTTGAGATTTACAGGAAAATGGACCAATCGGAGCTTAAGCACAACCTGATTGGCATGGATGTAGGTAATTGTTGGTCTCAGTCAAAATGCTGCAATTACACAATTTAACTTCAAGTTTTTCCACTCATGTACAGTTGTTGTTATTTCATGGCTTTCTGCAGGAGAAGAATTTTATTTGAGAAAGGATCTTAAAGTAAAAGCTTTTCGGACTTACCATGTAATACCCAGCCAGGTAGCCAGCTAGCAACATATGTTTCTTTTGAGTCGTAAGCTATTCAATGTTATTACAGACTAGGTCCCTCTTTGAAAAATATTGTGGCTTTTGATTCTGGTACTTTTAAGAGTGAAAGTCACAAATTTGAGTTTTTTAAATTGTTTTGATGATGCTATTCCCATTGATTTTTAAAAGCCTCGTGTACTTTTAAGAAGCACTACAGTGGATGGTTTTTGGAGCTTTTATGGCTATACAAAAATATACAGAACCTTTATTTTCTCTTAAATTCTTAAGTTATCCTTCTGCATAGTTTGTAATATCTGTTGATGTTTTGTAATTTTAGATATATAAAGCATTCTTGAAATGATATTTGTCAAACATCCTTTTAATATATGTGCAATTCACTGCATCTTTTTATCACATTTTATCCATCAAAATTTCAAATGACCTTTAGCAACATCCTTATCATGGCACCTACAGCATACCCATGTGGGACTTAACTATTATGCATGTTTTTTGCAGGGTTATATACTTTACTCTGTAAGACAGAAACTTAAACCAGAGTATATCGGCCTTTCTGGAAACGAAATTAAGAATTTGAAGTTGTCTGGTGTGGAGGTCAGTCTTAATTATTGTACTAATAAATAATTTGACAAATTTACATCTGGACAATTTCACAATTTTCTGTATGCGTCAACCAATTTTTGCACTTGTTAATTGCTAGTTTTCCATTTATTTGTTACTTGCATTTGGTTTATTTATTGCATTTGATGGCGAGAAAGTAATGAACTTGCAGCAGGATGTAGTAGATTATTGACTATGGCCATGAAGGATGAATTAAATTTGTAGTCAACAGCTCAACATAATGTTTGTGTGATCTAAGTTCATTTGATGACTACAATAAAGTTTCTATAATTTAATTGTTTCGTCTCCCTTTCTTATACTTTAGATCCTGTGCACTATATAATACTAAAAAATTGAACACATCTAACATTGGTCCTGTCCTTGCTGTACCAAGAAAATAAAGTTTTGTCTGTTGTCGAGGATTTCTGTTTCTGATATGCTGAATCATATCATTCAAATTGAGCTTTATGTAAAATTGCTATTATTTAATTAATTATTGTTCTGCCCTATATTTGCATTGAATTTTGGGATAGAAGTTCTAGTCGTCCATCTTTGATATCATTTGGTTTCACTACACATGCTCTACCAAGCTGGGTTGTTTGCAGATAACATACACTTTGACGGAACCAGAGATTGCTTTCACAGGAGACACCATGTCAGATTTCATAGTTGATGAAAATAACACTGATGTCTTGCGGGCTAGAGTTCTTGTATTGGAGGTGAACTACTTTATCCAATACTTTTGACGCTATGAATTATGATTGTTAGAAATAATATTAATTTATTATTATTAGAATAGTCTAGAATAGTTTAGATTGTGGGCTTGGCCCATTAGGTCTTTTAGTCTCTATAAATAGACAGCCTCCTTGTACAGACTTACACACTTGAATATACAATATATTTCAGATTCAATTTGGTATCAGAGCTCTCGATCTGAGGGCTCTGCTTCCGCATATATATCTTTTCCTTTCTTTTTACTGCCGTGCATCATACCGGCAACCATCCTTTCACACCTAACCCTTATTTAGTCACAAATTTCTTGTCCTCAACCTCGTATCATCAGGAAAAAGATCGTCAGCCTCCGTTCATCGCCGGAAACCGCCACAAAACCACCGTCCGCCACTGTTCACCGCCGTCAGACTGCTTTTCCGGCGACTTTTTCGACCAACCACCACGCGATCAGGAGCGGCTCAGGGAGGCGACCCTGTCTGTCCAAGCCGCGTGTTGATCGGAGCATCCACGCGCCGGTGGAAGTCTCCGGCGGCCGAACCACTGTTCCGGCGCATGAGCCACCGTCCGGCCACCGTTCCAGGCCGGACCACCACCATCTTGCTCGCCTCCTCACCCTCTTTCCAGATCTGGTCTCTGTTCGTTGTGGGTCTCATCCGTTTGAAAGATATCAGTGAAAAACCCGTTGTTTGGACACTTTTGTGCAACGTTTTTGCGCGATTTCTTGCTTTCTTGTAGTTCTTTGCTATTTTCTGGTCATCTCCTTTTATTTTGTGATGGAGGGCTCAAATAATGCGTCCAAAAACACGACTGGCATTATCTCTGGTACTACCCCATCTCCATTCTTTTCTCGGGCCAGTGATTCCAATTGGAACAGTGGACGCGGTCGCAGACGTGGCCGCAGACAGAGGCCTCGTTGCAATTATTGCCAGAATGTTGGGCATTTTGAAGAACGCTGGTATAGGAAGTACCCTCATTTGAAGCCACCGTCTGCCAAATTTGCTCAAACTGATGTTACGCCACCTTCAACTGGATTAGTAACTCTTTCAAGTGCCGACTATGAGGCACTTCTCAAGAAGGTTTCTTCTCAGCATCCTACTCAAGACACTGATAATCATGTTGCTTGTTTTTATCAATCATCTCTTGGACCCTGGATAATAGACTCAGGTGCTACTCATCATCTTTGTGGTAATAAAGATCTCTTCACTTCACTTTCTTATTCTAATAACCTACCCCCTGTCACTCTTGCTGATGGCACTAAGGCTCCTGCTCGTGGAATTGGGGAAGCCAACCCAACTCCCCTTTTAACTTTGAGTTTTGTTTATTATATACCTGGCATTCCTTTTAATTTAATCTCTGTTAGCCAGTTGATTCATTCTCTTTCATGTACTATTACCTTCTCTAAACAATCCTTTTCTATGCAGGATTCGGGTACGGGGAAGACGATTGGAGCAGGCGTTGAGTCACGAGGTCTCTACTATCTGATTGCACCACCTTCTCCAGTAGCCTGTTCTCTCACAGAGTCTCCTGAGCTAATTCACAGCCGTCTGGGTCATCCAAACCTCTCCAAGCTTCAGCGTATGGTTCCCTTTTTATCCAATCTTAAGTCTTTAAACTGTCATTCTTGTCAGCAAGGAAAACACACTCGCTCCTCCTTTGCTAATAGAGTCAATAAAAGAGCTGATGCTCCTTTTTCTATTGTTCATTCTGATATTTGGGGTCCGAGTCGAACAACATCTGTTTTGGGTTTTCAGTATTTTGTCACCTTTATTGATGATTTCTCCCGTTGCACTTGGGTTTATTTAATGAAAAATCGTTCTGAGTTATTTTCAATTTATCAAAAGTTTGTGCAGAAATAAAAACTCAATTTGGTGCTTCTATTCAAATCTTGCGCAGTGATAATGCAAAAGAGTATGTGTCTCTTGAATTTTCTAAATTTCTGGATACACAAGGGACGATACACTAGACTACCTGTCCCCACACTCAACAACAAAATGGAGTCGCTGAACGTAAAAATAGACATCTAGTTGAAACTGCACGTACCCTTCTCATTCATATGAACGTCCCACTCCGTTTTTGGGCAGATGCTATTATCACCTCATGTTTCCTTATCAACCGCATGCCCTCTTCTGTGCTAAATAATGATGTTCCCCACAGTATTTTGTTTTCTGGAGCATCTTCTTATCCTCTGCTTTTACATATTTTTGGCTGTACTTGTTTTGTTCATGATCTTACTCCAGGTAAAGACAAGTTGACATCCAAGGCCTTCAAATGTATTTTCCTTGGGTATACACGTTTTCAAAAAGGGTATCGTTGCTATTCTCCTGATCTCAAGCGTTATATCGTTTCTGCTGATGTCACTTTCCTTGATCAGCAGCCTTTTCACTCTACTCCGTCTCCAGTGTCCCAAGTTGATCAGGTCCTTCCTGTTCCTTTTCTTGACTTGTCTTTACCAGCTGCAGGTGACCCTATTCCAGAGGAGCAACCAATTACCTCCATACCTGCAGATCGTCCTCTCCTCACATACCAGCGTCGTCAGCCTGCACCTCCTCCGACTTTGCCTCTTGATGACTCATCGCCCTTTCCCATCGGCTCTTCTCCTCTGGATCCTCCATCAGAGACTCCTCCCATTGCTCTTCGGAAAGGTATTCGATCCACTCGAAATCCTCATCCCCTTTATTCTTTCTTGAGTTATGACAGACTTTCTTCACAACATTTTACTTTTGTTTCTAGTCTCTCGTCTGTTTCCATCCCTAAAACCACAGGTGAAGCACTATCTCATCCAGGGTGGCGCCAGGCGATGCTTGATGAAATGCAGGCACTTCACTCCAATGGCACTTGGGATCTTGTTCGTGCTCCTCCCGGGAAGTCTGTTGTTGGTTGTCGATGGGTGTTCACAGTTAAAGTTGGTCCTGATGGCACTGTTGATCGCTTTAAAGCTCGCTTAGTGGCCAAGGGATACACACAGATCTTTGGTCTTGATTATGGGGATACCTTTTCTCCTGTTGCTAAGATGGCTTCTGTTCGCCTGTTTCTTGCCCTTGCCGCCATTCATCACTGGCCCCTTCTCCAACTTGATATTACGAATGCTTTTCTACATGGTGACTTGCAGGAGGAAGTTTATATGGAGCAACCACCAGGTTTTGTTGCTCAGGGGGAGAGTTCTGGAATGATATGTAAACTTCGGAAATCTTTATATGGCCTGAAGCAATCTCCTCGGGCCTGGTTTAGCCACTTTAGTTCAGTTGTTGAATCCTTTGGATTAATCAGAAGCAAAGCCGATCATTGTGTCTTTTACCGGCATAGCTCTTCTGGCCAGTGCGTTTATCTCCTGGTCTATGTTGATGACATTATCATTACAGGCAGTGATCAGACCGGGATTGATCAGTTGAAAGAGCATTTATTCAATCAATTTCAGACCAAAGATCTTGGCAGACTTCGATATTTCTTGGGGATCGAAGTTGCACAGTCTAGGCGGGGCATTTCCATCTGTCAGAGGAAGTATGCACTGGATATCCTAGATGAGACTGGCATGTTAGGCTGTAAACCCATTGATACACCTATGGACCCCAATGTTAAGTTATTACCAGGACAGGGGGAGCACTGCCAGATCCTAGTCGCTACCGCCGACTAGTTGGAAAATTGAATTATCTTACTGTGACAAGGCCAGATATCTCCTTCGCAGTGAGTGTTGCAAGTCAATTTCTTGATTCTCCCTGTGACTCCCATTGGGATGCAGTTATTAGAATTCTTCGATATATTAAAAAGGCGCCAGGAAGAGGTTTATTATATACAAATAAAGGGAGTTCAGAGATCTCTAGTTATTCAGATGCTGACTGGGCAGGTTCTCCTTCAGATAGACGATCCACCTCAGGGTATTGTGTTCTCTTCAGAGGAAATTTGATCTCTTGGAAGAGTAAGAAGCAAACTGTGGTCGCCAGATCCAGTGCGGAGGCAGAATATCGGGCAATGGCAAATGCAACCTGTGAGCTCATCTGGCTGAGTCAATTGCTGAAGGAACTCCATCTCTATGAACAAAGGCCTATGAAGCTCATTTGTGACAACCAAGCCGCTTTGCATATATCCTCTAACCCAGTCTTTCATGAGAGGACCAAGCATATAGAAATTGACTGTCATTTTGTTAGAGAAAAGATCCAGTCAAGGGAGATCGAGACAGCATTTGTCAATTCCAATGATCAACTTGCGGATGTATTCACTAAAGCTCTTAGAGGTCCCCGAATAGATCATATTTGTAACAAGTTGGGAGCTTTTGATATATACGCACCAGCTTGAGGGGGAGTGTTAGAAATAATATTAATTTATTATTATTAGAATAGTCTAGAATAGTTTAGATTGTGGGCTTGGCCCATTAGGTCTTTTAGTCTCTATAAATAGACAGCCTCCTTGTACAGACTTACACACTTGAATATACAATATATTTCAGATTCAATTATGATAATTAACTTAAGAGCTTGGCTGGTATATATGTACATAATCCTTCCTCAAATACAAGAAAGATGTCCTTGAGTTTTGTAAGTAATGCAGTAAATTTTGAATTTACAAGTGCTTTTGGTACTTGTAACTGTTGAAGTTCCGTGTCTTTTATTTTTATATGTAAGCATATAGTCAAAAATGAGATAGAGGAAATAGGATAAATGAATCTAATCAATTTTGCAGTAGCAACACAATCAATTTGGAAGCGGCTTGTTCATGGAGTCGCATCTCATAATAGACTTGCCACTGAAAACATCATTTTTTTTCAATCTGGTTAAATTTGTCGTCATATCTTTCATACTTCTTTGCTTTTTTGTTAGTATTATTGGGTATCTTCAAAGTACTAGATTTGGACTTCTACACCTTTAATTTAGTCCCGTTGAAACCTCTCATTTACCTGGCTCAGTTGCAAGGTACTTATATTAGAGGATAGCCTAGAATTTCTGCATATGTTGTTTCCCAAGATTCAACCTCTTGGTTCCGCACTTTACTTCTTAATTTAAATATCAATTATCAGGCTCAAATGAAGTTTTAAATTGATTTTCTTGGCAGCTGTTTCTTGTTCTGGTTTATTCATTTGTTGATCTTGCTGTGCGGCCTTCCCATTTGACTTGCTTAAGGCTACTGTGGCCATTTTTTATGATCCTTGTGTTGCTTGCTTTGATTTCTATTTCTGATTAGGCTTTTCCTTGGTGATTTATATTCTTAGTGAATTGGTGAATGGTAACCTTTTAACACATTTTCCGGAAGACTCATATGAATAGTGAATCCATCAAAGAGTAAGTCTTCATATAATTCCCCTATTTGATACCACTATGAATAGTATCAACTTAGCAGAAAGGCATGCTTGTAAATCCACACTTTAGTCAAGGAATAGTTTTACATTTGTTCTGCCATGGTCCACATTTAACTGTTGGCTCTTCAAAGTTACATAATACAGGAGCAATAGATTACCTTGTTGACATTCAATTTACATAATCCATGATTTGGATCAATTTAAAAATTTGTTTGAGCATCTAATCCATAATTCTTTCCTCTACAAAATACCAATTGTGAAAGGTACCTTGAACACCTTCATAATCAAATTACAAGCAAGCATCTCACTGTCCGTGCCTTTTGGATTTCAGATGCTTTGTTAATTTTATCTATTTACTCTGTAATTTCAATGAGGCTTTATTTTGAGTCTTTGACCATCGTTTTCTCATTTTTTGTCATTGCTTTTTCTTACCCAAACATAAGCCTAGTTTTTCCCTGTTTATGTTGATGGTTGGTATTTTAGTTTTACAAACAATCTTATTTATTCTACTTTGTTCATATAGTGCACCTTTGTTAACAATTCAATTACTGTGGAACATGCCAAAGATTATGGACACACTCATCTGTCTGAGGTATGCTACCTGCTGCAATCAATAGCTCACAAAGTTTCGTGTAAATATCAGTGGTTTTATCATTTTTATTTTTTTTTTATTTTTTTCTTCTAATGAATGTTCTTCAGATAATAAGTTATGCTGAGAGGTTACAGAACAAAGCAATCCTTTTGATTCATTTTTCAGCGCGTTACACAGTAGAGGTATGACCGTATGACATTATTGTTTTTGTCTCTAGAAAATGATACATCACCCCTCCCCATAGCCTTGGTCTTTACTGGGATCCTGGGAAAAGGTTGATATATGTTAGATCCCCCAAGTATCAACAGTAGTTAGTTAGAACAGTAGTCAGTTAGAGAGGGGAAGCAGACCGCCCAAGTTAGTTAGTTAGAGCAGTATAAATTGTAGGGGGGAAATAATTGTGAGGAGTTTTTGGTTTTGGAGTGGAATTTGGGGGGAAGAGCCCAGGTATCTATTTTTTTTTTTTGATACAAAAGGAATTAGAGAAAGGACCAAACAAGCACCACTACAAGCTACACAACCTAGGGAGACTCAATCCCATGACATCATTCCTTAGTAAACTCAGGCACCCATGGGGAGAGGAGGGGGGGGGGGGGGGGGGGTGGATATAACACTTGAACATCCCAAATCTGTTTATGTCTGTGACTCGCTAGGCAATCAGCGACAGAACTCCCTTCCCTATATGTATGGAAACATGAACCTCCCATTGTCTATTCTGAATAGAAATAATGCTGACTGATTAGAGGAGCCATAGGATGATTAGGAAGGTTACTCTAAAATACTTGGAATAGGAGGGTTAGACATCTGTGTGCAGTATTTTGTATCTTCATTTCCTCATCTCTGATCTTGTATCCCGTTGATACCGACCCAGAGATAGAGGTTTCTGTCAATAAACTTTCTATATACCAATCCAGTTCTATGAGTATAACTTGTTCCCTCCTGTTTGATGTGGAACAGGTTCCTTCCATGTTCCAAATAAAAACAATATTAAACTCATTTTTGGGAGGGCTTAACATTTCTGCAGCCGCCGTAGATAACACTCTTTACAGCTGATACAGAAAAGTGGGCCCCACGGTGTTTTAAAAAAAAAAAAAAAACAAGGATCCGTTGCCGTATCCTAGAATCCGCACACGGATCCTGGCTAGCTGTAGGTACAGCAGCTGCATAAATCATTTTGCCTTTTTGGGATGCTTGCTTGTTAAGTTGTTATTAGCTTGTAAATATTAGTTTTCTCCGGTGATGTTCTTTCGTTGGGATACTAATGCACCTGCTGGTGCTTATGATATTAGGAAATTCAACAAGCTATATGCGCGTTGCCTCCCTCTTTAGCTGGTCGAACTTTTGCACTTACTGAAGGTTTCTGAAAAGAAGAATGGACTTTGGTTCATTGCATAAATGACTGATGGAGTTCTTTTTTCCCCCTCCATCCCCACCTGCAACTATTGGCCATAGGCAGAATGTAACATAATCATTGATGGCAAATGTGGGAGCAGTGGAATGCAAGGTGAAATCCACATTTCATGTACTCTCTGCATGCTTCTCTGCGAGCCATTAGAGGACACTAAGTTTCATTGTAAACTTTCTAGATAATCCACATTTTGCACATTTATATGATATGTCCAAGTGCAACTCTCATTTTCCTTATTAATGATGTGTATGGAAATTAGAGATTTAATTTAGAGAAAATATGTTCCTGTGTGTTATCAAAGTTGCTCGGTGAGAGAAAAAGATTATGCACAATCTCATCATTTGATATCATTATTTGCATTGTCCTTTGCGTCTCTATCTACTGAAGTTACTCAATAAATATATCTTACTTTCATTTGTTATACGAGATATGTTTAGTTACACATATTTTACTTTCACATGTTATATGAGACATGAGGTAAATAAATTTGTCATTATAATTATTCCAAATTACCTAGTCTTTGTTGGGTAAATTCACTCTTCTTTCTCCAAATTTTCAGCTATAGCCCATTTCTTATATTCCTGCCACCTCAAGGTTAAAGGCTTAGAGATGCCTAACAGAGTTAACAATCTAATGGCCTGATTTTCTTGATGTATCGATAAACATATACTGCGTTTATAAGATCATGCGTAGAGCTACTTGACATTAGTAAGATATGACTGGTTTATGAAGTTGATATGTTCTTTATGACTAAGCGAGCTATCCGTGCTGAGGTCAACAAACTAAAGTTGCGTACGCGAGTAAAAAGAGCATAAAACTTGAGGGCAGCTTTTTTTAATCATGTTGCCCTTTACCTCATGAAAATAAGAGAAAAATTTTGGGGCACTGGATCTCTTTTTTACTAAAAAAGTAAAAAATATATTCTTTTTTACCCATTTTTTTTTATATTTTTCTTTAAATCCTAAAAAAAAAAAAATTAGTAAAAGGAAAACATCGAATTAAGTGTTCTTAGTGCATCAAAGTTTTTCTCTAAACCTAGGTGTCAAAAAGTGGATACATGAGTTTTTTCTAAAATAAATAAATGGTACAAGGACTAAGGTTAGAAGTTTGTAATGCGGTTCTCTGTTCGTGGCAAACCCACCTTGGAGTTCTAATTCACACGGACAAATCTAAACTATCCCGTGACACTCTAACACACATTGCTGGGCTTAAGAAATTGGTCAAACGTTGCGTTTCGTTTTTAATTTTAATTATTAGATTTGTTGGATTACGATTATCATTTTGTTGAATTTAATATAAATATTTGTGATATCTTATATTTCTTTGCAAAATTGATGGGTATTATAAGTTTAGCTTTATTTTTTTTGTTAAATTATTGAATATGAAATACAATATACACTACATAAATTAAAAATATTATTTAATATCAAAACATATCTTAACGTGTCAAAATTTAACATTTTTAAAATTAACGTGTCAAAGTATCGTGTCATGTACCCATGTCCCATCTCGGTGCAACATAGGCTATGCTTGGATGGCAGATTAAGGAGGGAAAAGGGGCAGTTTTCAAGTAAACTTTACTTTTGTTTGAGAATTTTTTAGAAAGCGGGGAGAAAAACTGCATATTATCATTAACCTTCCAAAATTCTGTTAGTTTCTTTACACGTTTTAAAAGGGATTGGTGTTTGTTTTTTTAAATGACATAAAATTGTATTATTTTAAATGAGATAAAGAGATACACAATAGAAATTATGAGGAGAAAGTGAGAGATTTTTTTTAATTTAAATTTTAAATAAAAAATACTGATTTTAACTAAAATGACTATCCTTTAAAAGGACAAATGTTTTTCCTTTAAAGTCATCCTAATTTAAACATTTTGAAGGAGTTTAAACTTTAAACATTCAAAAAAGAGGAAGTAGAAATAAAAGGAAAAAGTTCATAAACCCTCTTTTATCATTTACATCTTTACAAAAAATTTTTTATCAATTATCCCCTTGCCTTTTTTTTCCTATCCAAGTTCATCTTTAACATTATTGATAATTAAATTAAATTATCTATTTTACCCTTATTTTATATTTGGAGTTTTGTTTATCAAAATTAAAATGTAATCCTTAAAAAAAATGGTGGCACAATATATTTGATTATGACTAAAAAAAACAACACGTGTTTACAAAAAAATAAAAAATAAAAAATAAAACAACACGTAACTTATGGGAGAACAATAGTTGTTGGAAGGGGACTTGGAAAAATTTCAAAGAAGATATTTATAGCTAAATGTGACAAAATGAAAGAAATCACATTAACTAAAAAAACAAAAAAACATGGCTTCAATGTCAACATTGATATAACATTTTTTTTTTTTTTTGTCTATCTAAAATGTTGGAATGTCTTCAACATCTGTGTAAATGGCTGAATGACCAATCAAGTACAAAAATATTACTACATCCTTCTCAATGTCGACATTTTAAATTCAATTTATATGTTAAATTAAGTCACTCACCAAATTATTAAGAGGGAGGTTATATTTACATTTTTTCACTTACAATCTCTTATAAACAAATCTTAACTGTTGATTTTTGTCAATTTAGTGGTTATAATTTATAGTGTTATACTTATTATTAATTATTAATTTTCAATAAATTATAATAGTCAAATTGGCAGAAATCAACAATTAAGATTTGACTGAAAGAGGTTATAAGCGAAAAGATGATATAAATATGAATGTTATAAAACTCGGCTCAGTTATTGACTCAATCGAGGTACTGTGTCATTGGTTCATCCAATGGGTAACTGGTTCAACCGCTTGAACCAATTTGATATGTATAAATCTATAATCTATATAGAAAATTCTAAAAAATAAATATAATATAACTTAATATAATTTAATTATTATTATTATTTTAATTAATTAATTAATTATTTTTTTATGAATATTTTAAATAAATTTTAGATAAATTAATTAATTATGAATGATATATATATATCACTTACCACAAAATGGGCTTATAGTATATATGCATTGGAGCCATCATCAGCCAAAGTGTATTGGACTTGGGATATAAATAAAAGGCCAATTGAAATGTATAAATTTAAAAAATAATAATTTTAAAATTTAAAATTAAAAAAAATGTTAATAATGTCTCAAGTCCCTTAATTTAATTTTTGAAAATTACTTTCTGGAGACTCTCTTGCACTCTATCATTGTCTCTTCATTTCACATCTTTCTTCTCACTTTTCATTTCACTTTCTTGAGACTTCTTTCTTCTTTTGTATCAGTATTTTTTTTCTCCTCCTTCGTAGTTGGAAATGGCAAAAGCGAGAATAGAAAAAAGCGAAACGTCCACCCCGCCATAAGAAAAGGAGCAAGCATATGAGGCAATTCTTGATGAACATGGTGTTGGAAATCGATTCACACAAATTGCAAACGAAAAGAGAAAAAAAAAAAAAAAAAAGTAGACACAGAGATTTATCCTGGTTCACCCAATTTAGGCTACGTCATATTTACCTCAAACTACTAACAGCAGTTATTCGATTTTTAAAGAAAATATAAATAGGATTAGAAAACACTAACAGCAGTTATTCATGGGCCCAAACCCAAACTACTAAGAAAATTACAATAAATTAGAGGCTCACAACAATACCTAACCTCTACGGGCCCTCATCAGCATGCGAAGTATACCAACACATGGCACCCAGAATATTTGGATAGTCTTTGCTTCTTCTATAACTTTTTTTCTTCTTCACCTTCATCTCAAAGACATGAATCTCAAAGACAGATATGACTCGATAAACCAACGGGTCAACAGTTTTAATAAACTCAACCGAGTTAAATGGGTTATATCTATTGGTTTACATGTTCGATCCTTTAGATTATCCAGACCGGTTATATGTCAGATTTATCGATTTCCGACTTGAATCAACCAGTCCGATCCAGATTTTACAACACTAATAAATATAACTTTTCTCAATTATTAAATACATATTTTCTTGTTAGAATTGCTCAATACATTTATTTTTATTTCCTCTTTTTAATTCTATCACCAGTTTTAATCTAATAATCAAATCAAGTCAACAAAACCAACCTCATTATAAATTTAAAATCCAATGAATTACTCAACTGCATCCATTTAGTAGGTGTACGAAAATGGTATTATTTTTAAAATTTAAAATAAATCACAAAATATTTCTTAAATAAATATTTTGAGCTTACTTGAATTCCGCCTAATTAAAATAAGGGTTTAAAATTTCTTTAGTCACCGTAAATAAAATTATTTCCAATTTTTTTGCTACACTCACATAGATTTCATTAATCTTTTATCTCTTTCTTTTACAATGGCAGTGAATCACTCAATCACTTCCATGAGACTCAGCACACTAATATTAACAACCCACCTTCTTCAAAGTTTCTAATTTATCACCGACACATTTTGAATTTTGTTTAGCCAAATATTGACTACCAATCTTCTTGAAATCCACGCTGCAAGAATGCTCTTATCTATGCCTTGCACAAAACAAAACACATCACCGCAAAGACACTCAAACCCTATTAATCCAACCTTTTTGTTGCAGATCTTGCATCTCTTTTTTCTTGCTCTTCATGCTCTCAGAATCAGTAAGACAGAAATCCCAGACATGTGGTTTATGAGAAGTAGGTGATTGATCAGCAACAAAGTTTCATCCTTCAAGTTCGTAGTTTCATATTTCAGATCTTCACGTGATTACCGATGTTCTTCTTGAGAAAATCATTGTAACACTTCACCTGATCAATATTTCAAATATTAGTGTGCTGAGCGAGACTAATCTCGCCTAAATTAGATGAAACAGCCGTTGGGTAGTAAAATCCGAAGATTAAGATCGTTATCTAAGAACGGTTGTTTTAGTTTCTTTTCTTGGTTCTATTCTTAAATTTTTGAATTTTAAGTGATCAAACTTTCAAACAAAGAAAAGACTAAATGAATTTAATTTGTATTCAGATTTGTGTTAACAGAAATATCTAATCACAAATGCAGCAATTATAAGGTACTGGAATTCTTGAATCATGGATGAAGACAAAATTTGCATCTCTGCATTTTAAAGGCACTTTAATCTCAAAATTTGAACTACTATGGCTATTTTAACTGAAACTTCCCAGGTTCCAGTTTTAATCTTTAGAAAGGTTCCTTTTCCAAGGTCTTTTAAATCTTCAAGAATTATATCAAATACCTCCTCGGATTATTCCTAACCTCAATGGTTCAATTAGCAAAAGAACATAACCTGATTTCCCAATCATAGTTATGCTAAAAATATTCAA